GCTGGGCATCCTTTTCATTTGTTTTCTCAAAATAGCGTAGTAGAGGTTTCACGATTGGATAACAAACCGATGCACATTGATCTTCCTCCTCTTCGGAGAGGTAGCATGACTGGAATTAAAAATTAAATTACTTTTTAAAATAAAAAAACACTCAAAAAAGGTATAACTTACTTCTTCCGATCCCAGGGAGGCGGAAATTAAGAAAATGGCAGAAATAAGGGCCACGGGGAAAATCATCTTGTATTTTTTTGATTGAACTTAACTTTGTACCAAAAGAGTCTCTGGGAATATTTGAACTGATGCTGCGAGTCTTGGAGCTCCGGCTTTTTATAGCCATCCTTGGCCATGAGCTTGAGCTTTAGTTTCTGATAAGAAATTGGAACATACTCACACATATAGAAAAGCCAAAATATTCCACAGACAGAATTCGTACGCAAGGGATGTCAAAGGTTATTGGAGATTAGAGAGAGGTGATTCGCAACAAAGCCTCGTTTATGTTCTTAGCTTTTCCTTTTTGTATATATATATATGAATTTGTAAAAAATTATGTATATTTTACATTATTTATATTTTATATTATTATTATAAATAATTATATATATATTTATATATATATATGTATTTTATTTTATATTTATATTTACCCAAATGGAAAATACTTTTCAAACAGATTTCAATGACGTCATACTCGCCTTATCTCTAACAAATGAATGTCCCGCTAAAGGGGGGTTTCTAGTCTAAAATTTAAGAAAAAAAAATTTTAATTTTTTTGTCATAATTTTTTTTATACCCTTCTTGCAGAGGGTATTATAACTTTCGCCAAAATTGTGCAACGCTGTGAAGGAGACATCTCCGACCCCATAAATTATATATATTTTTGATCAGCATCAACAGCCGAGTCGATATAGCCATGTCCGTCTGTCCGTTTCTCCATATGATCGTGTGAACAAAAGGTTTTTGATTTTTAACATCCTATAAATATTTTGATAAAATCCCTATAAATTAATTTACTTAATTTAATATAATAATTTAATTAATATACTTATTATACTGACCAGCGATTTTTTGCAGAAAAGTCTTTAAATATATATACATATGTACATAAAATATACATATGTATTCGTGTTCCACCTTAAAGCAAATCCCTGAGAAATGTTCGCTTTATTAATCAAAAGCCAGAAAAGAACTTAAAGGCAATGACTAATATTTTTGGCTATCAGCAGCGCCAAATGGCCAACGTTGTTTCCCAGACCCTCGTCCCTGGGGAAACCCTTGGTCCACATACCACAGCCACCCTTACCACCCTTGTCCACCGTCTATGTGCATATTTAAGGTTACTACTACACCCATACATACATACATATATACATGCATTTGGTGGAGTACATGGTTTACCTGGCTCTGGTTTTTGGAGACTCTCTGCCAGAGAGGGGCATGCAGGTTGAGTGCAGTGAGAGGGGCTGGCGCTGCTAGTGAAACAACGAACAAGGGGGGAATGAGAACAAAGGTTCGAGAATTGATGCTGCAAAGTTACACAGTAAGAAATTATTGGGGAAGGTATAAAACATTATTTAAACTTCGCATTGAAAAAAAAAAATGTCTTTCAAATAAATCGAAAAATGGGAATCATTATTTTACAAATTTTTTCAACAGTGTATAGTTTGCTTTCGGTGGTTCGCTGTCATTGCACAAGTGCGCAAAATTTTGGACTCAATTCACGTGCTCGGCTGCCAAAATTGTTGCCTTGCCTCCGTGCCGACCAACTCCATTCTCGCTCCCCACCTCCACCACCACTCCTGCTGCCACTCCTCGGGCAAACTCCCCACACGCCGCTCTCTCTCCCTTTTTTGGGAGACCAGTACACTCCCCTCTACCCGTCCCCCCTCTAGCCATTGCCTTTCGCTCCATAAATTTGCACATTGATCGCCCTTCGGCGTCGACTGCGCTGCTCCTGCAGCCGCTGCCTTCTTCTTCTTCTATGTGGTATATCTGTCTGTCTGTGTGTATTTAATTCGATAACAGCGCCACCGGTAACGGTAGTTTTTGGAAAGATTTTTACCCAACTCAGCGCATACAATATCACTCTCCACCACCCTACCTACATGCATACTACCACCAACCCCCCGAACAAGAGCACTCTCAAGTGCAGTGGAATAGTTGTGAAACACTTTGCCAAAGATGAGAGATAAATTGGGGAAAAAAAAATGGCAGCAGGCACAACGGGAACTCCAAAAGCTACGAATCATTTATGCATAACTTTAAAAAAATACATACAAAAAGGGGGGAAGAAAACGGGTAAGGCACTGACAAAAAAATGAATACTTATAATTGTTTTTTAATAAATTATAATTTATATTATGGTATCTAATATAATTAAAAATTTGAATATTAATCTATTTCTAAACGATTCAATAAAGATCTACATATAAGATACCCTTCTCATTTCCAATATCCATTTTCCAATTTTTGTAGCTCACTTTTATGTCTCCCGGCAATCTACATAATGCTTAGCTGTGGTGAACAGTAATGGCCGCTCAGCAGCGCTCTCTCGCGCTCACCTTGCTCTCCCACCACTTCCAGACTGATCACGGCACTTTGATCCTTTTTCGTTTTCCTTCTGCCAGCCATTTCAACTTGGACATTGCAAAGGATACGACGCAGACACATCAGTTTCTTTAAAAGTGAATAAATAAAATTAAGAATAAGAGTACATAATTAGTTAGTGAAAAGTGAATGTTAAGTGATTTAATAGTGAGTTAATAGTGTGTGAGTAAAATAAGTGAAAGTGTTTAAGGAAAAGGTCAAAATTCCAATTTAATTAATTGGATGGACCTTATTCTTGTGAAATATGGCGCAACTTTTTTTTAAATTTTTGTTTTTTATTTTTCTTGTGTTAGTGTTTAAAAATTGCGCATTAAAATAGTCTTAAATAAAATTTAATCTTAAAAGTATTAATAAAATAATAAACATAATTGGCCTGATTTATTGCAAAAGTAAAACTATTTTAAAGGATATTTTTTTAAACTAAACCCGTTTACCGTTATTTTTATAAAACATTATGGTACAGTCCATTCTGAATTAATACAGAAGCCAAATATTAAAAGTTGGGTAAGTATATTTTTTATATAAATATTCAAAGATGAGCTTAATCTTCTAATATTTTATATTATATAGTAATATTTTATATTTAATATATTTTTTAAAATTTTCATTTTAGTTTTTATTAAATGCACACAATAAAAAACTTAAAAAAAGATTAAAGAAGAATTAAACAATTTTGGTAAGTTATTTTAATTTCTATACAATTTATTTTTGTTAAATTATATTATTTATATTATATTGTGGAGTGGGAATAAAATAAATTATAAACTATAGCTTAAAAATAATACACAATTCAAATACAAATTTTTAATATTTATATTTCCTTAAATTCTATTATTTATTTGCCAACTTTTGTAAATTTCTTGAAAAAAAAAAAAAACAACAAAACCGCTTAATTGAAAAGCTTCTGAAAATAATCTGCATAATTTAAAAGTCCGCCCCTGACCATAGAACGGGTTAAAGAAATCCGTGTGGCAAAGAAAAATGAAAGAAATAACGGGGAAGACGAGAAATGGCGAGAAACAGGAAGAAGCTGAAAGCCTCAAGCATCCGGCCTGCCACTGTCAATAATTAAGAGCGATCCTTGATATAAACTTTGCGCTAAGTCGGCTAAAGCCAGAAAAGCTGGTCTAGGTGGCACTGAGAGAAAAAGGGGGAACTAATTGAATAACTTAAATGAGGTTAATAATTTAAGAATTTTTTTGTTAAATTGAATACTTGAAAATATTATTTATTTTTAGTAAGCATTGATGAAAAAAACTATATAGTTAGAAAGTCCGCCCTTTTTTTTTTGGTGGATGTGGGTTAACTGTTTTGTTTGCCTTCCTTGCATTTCTCCTTTCCTGCGCCAGTCAGCTACTCTCTCTCGTTTTCACCTTTCGGTTTATTTTTTTCTTTTCGCATTCGTTTTGATTAAATTTAAAAGTTACTCACCACCCTCTCACTCTCCTATAAACATATACACAGCAATAAACATTTAAATACCATCTCTCCTCCCACTTTCGCTCCTTCTATAATTGTGTCTTCAGCCGTCAATTGTGTCTTGACTGCCTGTTGCTCTCTCCTGCAACAGTCTCTCTCCTCCATTATTTTTTTGTCGCGTAGCAGCATCCCACTGCCTCCCCTTCCATCCACATCTTCACTTTTGCAACAATGGCAACAATGCAGCCTGCGGATGAGCTAATAGATTTATCACGAATCGTTTCACAGTCCGTTACCGTTATTGTTGTTGTGCCAGCGACATTTTCCCATTGTCTTTCCAGGTGTCGCCGGCAACTCTGGCTCGCTTTCTCTCTCTCTCGATATCTTAACGGTAAAAAAGTGATTTCCATTAGTTTGGGGGTTTTGGTATTACTATTATTATTATTTTTTTTTGGTATTAAATATTACATATATGCTAAATATTAAAATAAAAATAATTGATATTAAAATTTTTAAAAATTTAACACGATTGAAAAGAGTATTAAATATTCATTATAGAAGCCAACAGCCTTCGGGATAACTTAATCCCAGCTCTTGATCCTTTCTGACATTACCGTTAATTGAATGCCAAACACTAATAGCCAGGATAATAATTGTCAAAAGAGAAAAGAAAGATAAAAAAAAAAAAACGCTCGAGAGGAATGCAGAAAAATGGGAAGTTTTCGATGAAAGTTTGTTCATTATTACCACCTCATGATTGGGGGGAGGAGTATGTTGTAAGTAAGCCCATTGTCTCCATCGATTAGATTGAGAACGCCACTTGAGAATTATGATTTATTTTCTGTTGCTCCGATTAGATAGCACTACTATTTATGCAGTATTTTAGTACTGACCACTCGCGGTTGTAAATCAAAAGTGGGGGAATGGGGGACTTTATAAAAGGGGTACTCGCCCCATGGGATTTGCCCATTTGCGAATTAAAAATGGCACGAATTGGTGTTTTGGCGACGAGGTGCTGCTTGCTGGTGCTAGTGCTGGCACTTTCACTGGCCACGGTACAGTCGGCACCCGGTAACGGCTATGGACGGGTGGTTGGCGGTGAAGATGCCACCAAGGCCCAGTTTCCGCATCAGATCTCCCTGCGGAATGCCAACTCTCATAGCTGTGGCGGTTCGATTCTCTCCAAGAACTACATCCTGACGGCCGCCCATTGTGTGACCAGCGAGCAGGAGGACGGTTCCTTCGTGGCCATCGCCGCCGATCGCTTCACCATCCGTGCCGGCTCCAATGATCGATTCAGTGGCGGTGTCCTGGTCAACGTGGCCGAGGTCATCTTCCATGAGGGCTACATGAACCTTCGCAACGATGTGGCCGTCCTCAGGCTAGAGACGCCCCTGATCTTCTCCACCAGCATTCAGCCCATTTCCCTGCCCTCGGCCCAGACTCCGGATGACGCCGACATCATCATTTCCGGCTGGGGTCGGATCAAGGCTGGCGGTGATCTGCCCCGGTACTTGCAGTTCAACACTTTGAAGTCCATTTCCCTGGAAAAGTGCGACGAACTGATCGGTTGGGGTCTCGAAATGGAACTCTGTCTCATCCACGAGGCGGACAACGGTGTCTGTCATGGCGATTCGGGCGGACCGGCCATCTACAACAACGAGGTGGTCGGTATTGCCGGCTTTGTGTGGGGCACCTGCGGAACCACCTACCCGGACGGCTATTCCAGGGTGTGGTACCACAAGGAATGGATTATCCAGCACACCGACCTCTAAAGGTCCCGACCTACACCCCTTTTTTTTAATAGATGTACAAGAAATAATAAAGAAATGAGTTTATGAAGTGGGTTTTGTTTAAGAATATTGTTTTAAGATTAATCGATTATGTTGTGGTCAGTATTTTACCTCCGATTCTAAGGAGATTCCCTCTTTAAAGTTTAAACAATCCCTGGTTGGACTTTTTTTTTAAATTTAGAAAGAAAATAATTTTTAGATTTTTTTCGGAAAGTTTTCTTTCAAAAAACTTATAGGAGAAACCTATATACCTAGTCAAAAAAGATGGATATCTCTAGTCAGTTCTTATACGATTTCTAAGAAGAGTATTTTTTTCGATTTATAAATCGATTTTCTATGAATTTTCTTCAAAATCTTAAGAAAAAATATATATTTTTTAAATTTTTTCAATAATATTGCTCTAAATAAAATAGAAGAGGCCTATATAGCCTAGTCTAAGCCTATATCTTTGTAAATTGTTCAGCGATTTTGAAGCATACTCGATTATAATCGATTTCTATATATGTAGGTTTCCTATCAATTTGAATCGAAATATGAAAGAAAATTATTTTTAATATTTTAAGATTTTTTTTTTATACTCTTTATAAGAGATCAAATTAAAAAGAGTATAATAGGCCCATTATTATCTTTTCGATGGCTATATCTTTGTCCATATTTTCGTCCAATTCTTAAGCGGAATTTTTGGATAATTCCTTCATTAATTATTTGTATCGATTTTTTAAAATTTTTATCAAAATCTTAACGAAAAATATTTTTTGGGATTTTTTATTGCTTTTTCTAATAAAATCTCTTAAAAGAAAATGGAGGAAATCCTATTAATCTTTTTATCTGCCAATTTATATCCGATTATAAGGAAGAACATTTAACATTTAACATTTTTAGATTTTTTGTCGTTTTTTTTCAAAATAATATTTTATAGAAAATGAGGAGAACCCCTATAAGGTTTACATACTTATATGTCTATATCTTAGCCAAATGCTATCCAGCTCTTAATAGGTTCTAAATACTTTATGGATTATAGATACTTTTATAGATAATAATAATATAATAATATTTATAATTAATTATTTACTTATTTGTTTTTAATACTTTTATATATAATATATATCCCATATCAAGCCCAAGGCTATAACTTTGTTAATTTCTTTATAATTATATCTTTGATATACCTTTCTTTGAAATATCTTTGGGTACATTGATAATTTTTATCCTATTCACTTAATAGGGTTTTTTATCTACTTTCCGTATTTATTTTTTTAATAAAATCTCAAGATTTTGGTAACTTTTTTTTTATTTGAAAAAAGTAAAGAAAACCCCAACAAAGCCCTCAAAGATATATATGTATATATTTATTTTATTCTTAAGCGATATACTGCTTTTCTGCTTCAATTCCCCTACATTTCTTATCAAAATTTTTTAAAAAACTGCCTCCATTGATTTATTTTCTTTAAAGTTTGTTATGAAGTTTGTTTTCCGCAAACACTGGTAATACCTGCTGCCAAAAATATAGCTGCCAGAGGTAGCTCCGAGGTAATGCCAGCGTCAAGATAAATCCAATGCAGTTATAAAACAATTAGCAATGACATAATTCCCAATATCGGCGTCTTCAACGATTAGATTGCTCGACTGACTGCATAAATCTTGGCGATAAGATATAGTTTCTCATTCTGTAATACAGGGCCGTAATAAATTGTAAGACCTAACTATGTATATAGTCATGGGGTATATAACGGAGGTGTTTATCATGGATGGTGCTCATTTGCGAATTGAAAATGTTGCGTGTTGGTCGCTACTTGGTGGGCACTTGGCTGCTAATCGTATTGGCACTATTGTCGTCGTCGGTACAGTCGGCCCCCGCTAACGGTGTCGGACGGATTGTGGGCGGCGAGGATGCCACCAAGGGTCAGTTTCCGCATCAGATTTCGCTGAGGAATGGCGGTTCTCACAGCTGTGGCGGTTCGATTCTCTCCAAGAACTTCATCCTGACGGCCGCCCATTGTGTCACGAACGAGAACGCGAATGGAGAGCATATACCCGTGGATGTCGACCGGCTGTCCATTCGGGCGGGCTCCAACGATCGGTTCAGTGGCGGCCAGCTCATCCAAGTGGCGGAGATCATCGTTCACGAGAGCTACGGTGACTTTCTCAACGACATTGCCCTGCTGAAGCTGGAGAGCCCCCTGATCTTCTCCAGCAACATCCAGCCCATAGCCATAGCCACCCAGAATACGCCGGCGGACGCGGACATTATCATTTCCGGATGGGGAAGGCTCAAGCACATGGGCGACTTGCCTCGGTATCTGCAGTACAATACCCTCAAGTCGATTTCGCCGGAACGGTGCGAGGAGCTGATCGAATTTGGATTCGAGGGCGAACTCTGTCTCATTCATGAGGTGGACAATGGAGCCTGCAACGGCGACTCCGGCGGACCGGCCATCTACAATAACGAGGTGGTGGGCATTGCCGGATTTGTGGTAGGAGGATGCGGTTCCTCATATCCCGATGGCTATGCCAGGGTCTACTACTTCAGGGATTGGATCAAGCAGCACTCGGATATCTGAGTTGGAATTACTAGAAAATAATTTTCCTTTTTTTTTTGTGAATTTTTAATAAATATTTTAATAAAAAAAAACTATGCAAGTTTTTAAATAATTAGGTTAAAGTTTTAAAAACCAAATAAATAATTTACAAAAGAACGTAATTAGTAAAAGCTAAAGTGGGCTTTGGGTAATACCTAGATCAAGGTAATACATTCTTGAAGTGATAAGAACAAATTGAAATACCACTAGTTGTTTAGTTAGCAAGTTATTAAGTTATAAGTGAAGTGTATTGTTTCTTTAAGAGACTTATATACTAGACATTGTTAAGTAGAGTGTAGAAGAGAGTTTATTTATTATCTATAAGAATATATATTATACTAGAGATATTTAAGAGTCGAATTTTGGTATTATATATATTATATACATCAACTCTCTAATCTAGTTTCTCTATAATGAATTTATATATCTCTCCATAAGAACCTTACTCTGTACTACAGTTTCTAGAAACCCCTATATCATGATGAAATAAAAAAAAAAAACTTTATATAATCTAACTATTAAAGGCTTTCGTTGAAACTGAAGAGAATAGGTTAAACTAAGGGATCTTATAGAGAAAGTATGTATGGTTCGAGGACATCGATGAGGAGTATTTAAGAGCATATAAGCTTTAATGCCAAACCCAATAAAGAGAGTACTACACATAGTAAATAGTAATATGTAGTGATAGTAAAAAAATAATAAAACCTTTATTAATTTGATATAAAATATAGTAGATTGTATTAGATAATAAAAAAATAGTCTTATCGCTGACATTTTATTCGATTTTTATTCTGTTAACTTTCAGTGTTGTACAGCTTGAAGTGATTTAAATTAAAATAAATATATTTAACCCTTAGTGGGCTTAAAAAACAAAAATTTCCCATTTTTTGAGGAATTTGAGGCATTAAATTATAATGATAAATTACGAATTAGAGGAATTAGCCTTTTTATACTGAAACAAAAAAATATATAAATTTCTTTCGAACTCAAAATAATTAAAATTTGGAAACAATTGTATAGAAAATTTTAAGTTTTTATTAGAGGTAGCCTAGTCACCCTATTCACCGTTTAAGGGTTAACAAAACTCTTGTTACTTAACACTATTTTACTGTGTGTAAAATGTGTAAAATGTTTAAAATGTGTCATATTGTTACCTATATGAAAAGCTTTAAGCTTTTAAATAATTTTAACAAGTAAGAAGACAAGTAGAGACTATATTATAGTTACTGTATTATGGCCTATACCTCCCTGTATGTATGTATGTACATATATATAAGATATATATATACAGCCTTTAATTAAATAATTTATATATAAATAGGATATATAATAAATCATATAATAATAAATAAATAATATATAATAAATATATAATTAAATAATTTATATATAAATAGGATATATAATAAATCCTATTTATATATAAATTATTTAATTAAAGAAAAGGTATTTTCATTTCGATATTTACTCAGTTTGGAAAGGAAAAAAGTTGGGCTTATCCAGAACCTACACAAAGAGAAAAAATGTGTAATACGTAACTCAGGCTTAAGTTTAAACTAAATGGGTTTTAAAAATTATAAAAAAAGAAACCGTTTTTTTAAATGAAAGTATTGGCACAAAATAGGTCAGCTATATGTACATACATTGTAATGGAAAAGAAAGCTTACTTCGGGCGGAGCCGCAGATGATATACCCTTCAAAGATATATATAGCAAATATTGGATAGCAATATATAGAAACTCTAATTTAATAGAAAATTTTTTTGATTAAGATTTTATGATTTAATTTTTACATAGTGCTTGTGGAATTACTTTTTAGGAAAAGTTGGTTTAAAAATATTCATTTTATGGGGAATTATGAATAAATGCATTTTTTAATTATATACAATATATCTTCCCACAAATCAGTGTTCTATATTCCCCAGAAAGAGAAGTTGGGGAAAAAAAAAACTTATTTTTTTTATATAAATTCAAGTATTTTTTAGTAACCAGAACTGCCCCAAGTTACATTTTAGGGAAAAATAATGTAATTATATCTACAATGTTCGAGTTTCTGCTAATAGATATAGGTGATGCATATATTTCCCTCCGCTGAAGGATTAAAAGAGAAAGAAAAACCTAAGCTTATGGATATGGAATGATATATGTACATCGAATCGCATATAACTGAATGATCGGCTATGCCGGAACTTTTTTTTAGACACAGTAGGTTGAGACTCTGGTTCATATTTTCATATAAAAGGGGCCAACGTCCAAAGGAACTCATTATCCAGCTGCTGGCCAAGTTTGTTAGCCACTTTCCACAACCAAAGCAGAGTCGCTTCTTTATTTTTCAAAGGCTCCGTTGGGGCTGATCTTGAAATGTCTGAAATTCAATATTTTTGTTTCCGACCTTCCGATGAAAACAATTGTTTTCGATTAATTTTCAAATGTTTTAATTGGAAATTTTTATACAAAATTTAAACAATATAAAAAAAGCTTATCTAATAATCGTCTTTATAATTTTATAAAAAATATAATTACATTATAGGGCTTACATATATCCTGTATTTCAAATTATTTTAAAAATATTTCATTTTCCAAGTCCGTTTTTAAAGGTTTCTTGTTATCTTCAACCTGTTCTTCGGATGAACATGAATATGCCATGTTCTTCAAGGCTTATAGATGAAAAAAAAGAATATAAAAATTATTTAGTTAGTTATTTTAGAAAGTTTTCCTGTTGGAGATGAAACAAAAGAAAAAACCAAATTAGAATACACACCTCATTCTGGGATCAAACCACCAGCCATAGCCCCCTTCCTTCGCCAAATTACGATCAGGATCTCCATCCTCATCTTGATCGAAGGTGGAAAATTGAGAGCCCTGCTTAGGGCTCATCCACACATTTCCAGTACAATCGTCAATAAGTTTCACCTTGTACCCTTCGCTTCTATCGCCCACAATTAAGTTGTTGCATCTTTTTCCTATGCCATTGGACCATAAAAGTACTTCATTACGCTTTCCACTGGTCAGATGGTGCAATCGATTGAGTCCAATAAACCACTCATCGTCATTATCAGTTCCGAAATGGCCGAATCCACTTTCATAATCCTTATACGTGCCATTCAATTTGTTTGAATTAGCCCATTTTCTATAAACAGTCAACCATCCAGATCCAATATTCGAAGCTGAATAACAAACCACTTTAAACGGGTCTAAGCCTGGTAGTTTGATTTCGCGGAGGACTTTCATTTTTTCTTGATCTCGTGGACAAGGGTCTGGAAAATCTAAATAGAATATAAAAATGTTATGTTTTATTTTGCAAATGATTGGGTTCTTCCGACTTACCTATGGTTTCTGTTTTGGGCGTCGTCTCAATATTAATATTAGGCAGTGGAGTTGTTGGGACCTCCCCAGTTTCTACTTCCGATTTTGTTGGATTATTTTCATGAATTCCTCCAATCTTTACTATATTTCCCAACTTGGCAATGTCTTCGCGGAACTGATTAGTCAACGTTGCAAGTTCACTTTTTTCTTTTAGTTCCCTAATTTGATCTTTTAGGAGGTCGATATCCTTGTTTTTCTGATTTATTAGATTTTCAACTTCCTGCTGCTTCGAATGCAACTGCACATATTTGACTTCACTATCTTTAAGTTGACTCAGCACTTCCAAATTCGATTTCACTAAGTCTGAATAGTCCTGTTGGCATTTGGATATCTGGGCATATTGTTTTAGATCCTTGCTCTGCAAGTCTGAATGTCGTTTTTGAAGTTCCGAATAGTCTGTCTTGCATCTTAGGAGCTGGGCATCCTTTTCATTTGTTTTCTCAAAATAGCGTAGTAGAGGTTTCACGATTGGATAACAAACCGATGCACATTGATCTTCCTCCTCTTCGGAGAGGTAGCATGACTGGAATTAAAAATTAAATTACTTTTTAAAATAAAAAACACTCAAAAAGGTATAACTTACTTCTTCCGATCCCAGGGAGGCGGAAATTAAGAAAATGGCAGAAATAAGGGCCACGGGGAAAATCATCTTGTATTTTTTTGATTGAACTTAACTTTGTACCAAAAGAGTCTCTGGGAATATTTGAACTGATGCTGCGAGTCTTGGAGCTCCGGCTTTTTATAGCCATCCTTGGCCATGAGCTTGAGCTTTAGTTTCTGATAAGAAATTGGAACATACTCACACATATAGAAAAGCCAAAATATTCCACAGACAGAATTCGTACGAAAGGGATGTCAAAGGTTATTGGAGATTAGAGAGAGGTGATTAGCAACAAAGCCTGGTTTATGTTCTTAGCTTTTCCTTTTTGGTATATAGTAAGGCCTTATATATGTATATATATATATGAATTACATTACATAATACATAATATAATACATTATTTATATTTTATATAATTATTATAAATAATTATATATATATATGTATTTTATTTTATATTTATATTTACCCAAATGGAAAATACTTTTCAAACAGATTTCAATGACGTAATATTTGTCTTATCTCTAACAATTGAATGTGACGCTTAAGGCGGTCATCTAGTCTAAAAATGTAAGAAAATCAAACAAAAAAAAAAAAAACAATTTGTTAAAAATAAAAATTTTAGTATTTTTGTAAATAGAAGCTGTGGATTTTTTTTTTAAATTCTATTATTCGAGGAATTTGTTTTTATCATAAAATATTAACAAAATATATTAAATATTACTTCTTTTTATAAAAAATTATTTAATATTTAATAGAAACTACATTTTAGTTAGAAATAAAAGGAACTACATTTTCTCCTCCCTCTCGCCCACAAAAAAATAATAGAAATTTGTTACTTTTTTTTTTTTGTGGAAACCCCCTCTTTTTGGTGGCGACCCTGGCATATCAGATATATGTACGTATTTTTGAATATTTGTCAAGCAATTTCACTCTAAATTTGCCAATTATGCGCATTTTTTGAGCGTGACCCGATTGAGCCACCAATACCCACTCGAAAATGCATCAATACTAATGCGCGATTTATAGGCGTGTGTGTGTGTGAATGGAAGAGTATAGCCCTTTTATC